CTCGTGAATTTAGACAAGGCGGCCTCGTGCTTAGAAAGATCGTGTCTTTCAACGTTGATTCTAGGAGCAAGTGGACTCCCAATTTTGAAGGTCCATATGTTGTCAAGAAAGATTTCTCTAGAAGTGCATTGATTCTTGAAACAATGGATGGCGAAGAGTTCCCACGTCCTGTAAATGCTGATGCAGTCAAAAAATACTTCGCCTAGAAAAATAAAAAGAACAGCTCACTAAGACGAAAAACCGAAAGGGGGGCTTAGGCAAAAAGGAGTGTCTCGGTAGGCCGAAAACTCGAAAGGGCAGTTTAGGCAAAAATTAGAGACATAACCAGAATAAATTTTCCCTCTAGGTTGAAAACCCAGAAGGGAAACCTAGGAAAAAGTTAGGGATTTCTTGGCAAGTAACTACACAAGATGAGACTCGATCATTTGAAGCAACAATCTTCTTGAATCCTTACTACTCTTCAACCAAAGTCGTTGCTCAGGAATTCAAAGTTGTTAGGGAGAATAGTGGTCATTGTATTTCAATGTATCTTTTCCAATATATATATTACCATTTTCCAAACTCTGTAATCATCTATGGAGTCTCTCCATTCATAGACTACCATTCTATTAATAAAGTTTGAGCTTTTGCCCAATTCTTTGCAATTATTATTTTATTTAGCTACAAGGACTTCATTTATTATTGATAGTAATTTTCAAAGAAAACAAATTAATTAAAAAATTTATTTTTTGAAAGGAGTTTACAAATTAATTATTGCTTTAGATTTTGTGACTCAAGAAGAACAAATAGTGACTCCAGGGACGGACAAACTCGGAAATTTCCGAAGTCTGATTTCCCCAGGGATGTTCTCCCAAGGAACTTTTGTTAGATTGAGTATGTTCTTCATGTTTTTCTCAGATAGTTGAATATGATACCAATTGATGTATGGTGCAGTGTTGGGTTTGTGATCCCGTTTTCCCCAGTGAGGCAACCAGACAAGGGAAATGTATTTTTTAAGAAATATTGAAACAGTCATCAACTTTTTAGGTTTTCTCCCGCCAAGTGCTGGATTTGATTTAAAATCCCCATAAGTTTGATTTCTTGCTGTAATATTCGACTTCTTAAATCCCTGGATAAGGCTATCCCCGTGAAGTTCATAAGTTCTCCCTAGAGAAGTTGGTGCAATCCTGGCTCTTAGTATTGAAGAATGTATATCGGTTTCCCCTCAGCGATGTATTATTTCCCTCCCCAATAAAGTAAGTAAAATATCCGCAGTTGATGTCTCAATAATAGGGTATTGTTTCCCTCATTGAAATCAGTATTGCAATCCTAGTAGAAGTACAGACCGTGAAACATTTTTTCCCCATTGAAATTTGTGTGATATTCCCCGGTGAAGCCGGGAGGAGGATGTTATACCCCTGTATTTGTACTGATTTATTGCTATGATTTGATTATTTTTGGATTATGTTCCTTCCCAGTGGAGTTAAGCCATGAAGTAAGAATTTGTTTCCTCAGTCGGTGCTTACTTTCTCATGAAATTTTCATCTTGGATGTGTTTTAGCCGAGTATTGATTGTACCCAAGTTGGTTTTGTCTGGTTATCCCCAGTGTTATATGTCTGTTTTGTCAACATATACACGATAGCATTCATACATTTGAAACAACCGGCTGAAAATCATCAAAACAATGAAGTCGCCATCGAACGTCTTTTATCCCACAGGAAGGTAAAGGTAAACATCGAGAAAACCTGAGAAGGGATAAGTCACAATCTTGCGACCGAGAGATAAGGGTAAGGGAGTCTGTTACGCGAGGGGAAGGTATTAGCACCCCACACGCTCGTATTACTCTACGGTATCCACTCTTGTTGTTTATCTTATGGGTGTGTTTAATCTATGCTTATTGTTTATTACTGCTACTGAAGAGAAAATGCATGCAAAAGAAATGGAAAAAAATGTAGGGAAAGTAAAAGTTGTGCTCGCTTGGGCCCTACCCCAATGCCTATGTATCCTTTTTGAGGAATCAGAGAAGCCGTAATTCGGCTTATGTTTTTGTCGGTTTGTATTTTTTAATGAACACTATTAATTTCGACTTCTGCCGCGACTCGACCTTTGGAGACTTACGCGTCAGCACAGAAGTGAATTAACATGCTCTTTCTGAAAAGATTTGGATAAAACGTGCTTGGACGCACAAAAAAGTTTGAATTTTTTTGTGTTTTAAATGAACGATATTAATCTCGCCTTCTGCCGCAACTCGACCTTTGGAGATTTACGCGTCAGCACAGAAGTGAACTAATATGCTTTTTTGAAAAGATTTTGAAAGAAAGGCCCGAAGGCAAAAAGAATTTTGTGTTTGTTGGTTTTTTTGCTTGTAAATAATAGCTAGTTAATCTCAAGGGAGAGATTTTAGCCATGTCTCTAATTATTCATGAAATGATTCTTTGGGATTTGAACCGTGCCAAGACTTAGAATAAGAGAACAATAAGGTCGAGAAGAAACCCTCTTATTGTCTCACATACTTAACGAAGACATGATTCTCGTCAGTGATTTTTTTAAGTATTTTTTGAAGTTTGTAGAAAAGAAGTTTTTATTTTTAATACAAGTGCAAAAGGGAAAGAAAAGTCAAGGGGATACTAGCCTATTTCTAAACCTAAAGTTATCAGGCTTTGTTATACCTAAAGTTATATGTTTCAAAGTAATTCTACCTGATGTTCGCATGCATAGCTTGCAGTAAAGTCCTGTTTCTCCTGATTTCTAGAAAAGCAATAAAGTACGAGAATGAGGAATAAAATGAGGTTTTGGAGATACCAAGCGAACAAGAGTTCATAATACAACAAGCAAAGCAGAGAAGCCCGGAAAACTTCGAGTAAGATCTGAATTATCATGTGATAGTCCTGCATGAAGATATAAGATTGTACAAGGCAAAAAAATACTCCGCTAACGACTCATGGTACGAGAAATCTCTGTTGAAACCTTTAAACCACTCATTAGGCCAAAGAAATTTAATCGAAGATACAGATTCACCAAGAATGTGCTAAAGTCCTAATTCTAATCATGTACCAAACATTAATTCAATTAATTCCTAAACCAGTAGAAAAATTACGGAAAAATGTTATCAAGTCAAGAATCAACATATTAATATCCACACAAAATTCCAGAAAAAAATCATGGGAGGAAGTATCAATGTTAATTGCTAGAAAATCAAAGGATTATAATGAAATTAACATGAAACAAGGTGGTGTGAGGGCTGAAACAGTAGTGTGAATAATGCTGGCCCATGCTGAAAAGCCCATAAGCATTTTTTTTCTTTCAATTATTTAAGTTTTGCCAAAAATTCTTAATGGACCCAAAAGAAGGGTTGCCCTGTCCAACAAGTCCCATTCTTCTCTAATTTCCAGCAAATCTATTTTTATGATTATAGAAAAGAACAAGTCATGAGAAAAAAAAGCAGTCCCAAAATAGTTGTGTTAAACGATTAGATAGGGTTTGTGACTCTGTAACTTTATCGTTCCAGACCAACCTCTTCCCTTCTCAGATTGAAACGCGAAATTCTCTCCTGTTCCGAACACCCTCACCCTCCTTTCATCGCTCGTCTTTGCACATCGCTACCATGGAAGACCTCTTTGCTCAGTCTCAATCGTGAATCCCCTTCTCAAAAACACATGTCGGCGCAAATGGAACCCTTGCCATCGTCGCCCCCAAAACCATGATGAAAACTCAGGTTTTGTTATTTACTCATCATTCAACAAGACCGAAGGTCCAGAAATCGTGAACCCTAGGTATACTACCGTCGAAGATTCGCATGAAAAGAAGAAGATTGACGCAAGAGCTATTTTTCTATCGTGTAATCAGTGCGAACAATGAAATTAGGTAAGTATGACACGATGATCTAACCCAAAAACGGCTGTTGGCTCCGACGGTATTAGCGTGTTTGGAAGGCCTCGTAGACGAGATTTCTCCTCCAGGTATCTTCCTTTGCTCGACGTCTTCACTTCTTTATCTTCTTCTTCCTTTCTTATTTTGTCTGTGCTATCTTTGTATCTATGGTTGCATGATGTTTTTGTTGATTGCGATGCAGAGAAGTCATGTATGAATATTGGAGGTGTGAAGATGATGATAAAGCAGTGGTATTGAAGAACACAAGATGAAGATAGTAAGTTCTTCTTCTGCTTCTTCTATTAGCTTGTTACGATTCTACAGAGATGAGGTTGTGACTCGATGTTGGGAACTGAATCAGAGACAACCAGGATGCGTTTGAGTTGGTGGTTGTAATGAGAACAAGCGTGAGGTTGAAGAGCCATGATTATGATGGTTCAGTGGTGAGGATGAAAGTTATTAGAAGGTGATGAAGGTGGTTTAACGTGAAGAGATGATGAAGAAGATGAATACGGTGTAAAATTTTCAGAGAGAAAATTGAAGGGGTTTTTGTGGTGATTGTTCTGAAGAAAGAAAAAAAAGGATGAAGAAGAGCGAGAAAAGGCTGAAGGATGCAGAGGGAGTGGATTCAATAGTTTTTGGTGAGTTTCTCTATATCTAATTTTCTGACTTTTCTCCTTTTTTCAATCAAAAATCCCTGCAATCTCTTATTCTCTATTCTATTGTGAATCTGATTATGTATATATGACGAGAGAGTTGGAGGGAGCTTTTCATAAAATTCTATTTTTGGTTTTAGAGTTAGTTATGTGGAGGACCGTTTTTGACAGTTGAGGGTTAGTTCTCCTCCTCTGTTATGGGTTGCTGCTAGTTCCTTATATCCTTTTTCTATTATGAAATTGTTGAGAAGTTGTTAGGAGTTAGAAACTGTTTAGAGTTAGTTTAGAAAATTCGGTTAGGTTGGTTATAGGTTGTTAGGGATTGAATAAATCTGTTAGAAAACAGTAGCAGGTTAGGAATCAATTAGTTGGCTGTTATGACAGTTGGTTAGAATTCTGTTTGGAGGTAGTTAGAGAGTTTGTTACTTTGTTTGACAGTTAGTTAGTAGAAGTTAGTTTAAGAGGAATTCTGCTTTGTTACAATTTCTTAGAACTTAACTGTTAACTGTTATTGATTTCTGTTTAGCAGTTGAATGAGTTTCAATTTGATTCACAGCAAGCTTAATCTTGGAGTATGCTAAGCAATCTCTATTCAGAAAGACATCATAGTTGTTGATCCCTATGCTGCGAACCAAGCCCGATGAGACAAGACCTTCCATCGCATGCCATGTAGTTTCCAAGGATATGGTTGTATCTATATCCAGGACACCATCTTCACCCAAAGCACTATCAGTGGTACCAACCCCAGTATGCCTTGTGGCAACAGGAAAGTGAACAAGATATAAATCAAGATAATCTAACTGAAGCTTCTTAATACTATCTTTACAAGCCTCAACAACATGTCCATGATTAGAGTTCCATAACTTGGTGGTAATGAAAAGATTTTCCCTCTTGACAAAAATAGAAGTAAATATAATTAATTTGCTTCATGATTCATGATGATGATCAATCTCACTCTTAACAGTGTCCTTTACTAAGTTGGCACTATGATAATATTAGTGGTTATGGTTTGATGATTTGTGTTCCAGTCAAGTCATTTTCACCACTCTCTTTTAACACAATGTTGTGCAATACAATTTCTATCTTTTATCATCTTGTCTTGCAGTGTCAGCACTAAAGTGATGCGCACTTGTTTGTGAGATGTATTCAAATTTACATCAACGATGTCAGTTTCTGAACTTTTCTGTTACAATATGTTATAACTCGACACACACACATTCGCACATTTACACCCTTAAAAGTAGTTTTTCTCAGAAGCAATGAGAAAACATTGTTGCACTCACTTTCTTCTTTGGCCAAACCATATATACATTTTGTTTTTTTTCTCACTTACTACTACCATTTATTGCAGATTGAATGTTTAATTTTAGACTCGAGCCACTGATATTATTTCTTTTCGTTTGTAGCAAGGCAGTGAAATTAATTGAAATTTGAAATCCAGTATCAAAAGCTTCTTTAAACGCTTCTCCAACTTCATTTTTGTTCTTGTAATCAGCAGTACAATCAAAATGACGATAACCAATTTTGATTGAATTGATAATGAGATCTTTGATTCCTTGTCCTTGCATTCGCCTAACGCCAAGTCCGATTATTGGTATCTTGAAGCCATAACATGGAAAATAATGGAGTTAATGTTTAGGCAAGATAGATTTAGTGTAGCTTTGTGTAATTTTTTTTTGTATTTTTCTCAATGATGTAATGTAAGATGGTGTAGTGAGTTGTAATCTGGTATTGAATTTTTGTAATAGAACTTGCAATATGACTTGAAGGAAGTGAAATTATAATAGACTAGTGCTTTGGAAATGTAATGTTCTCTTTCTCAAACATAGATTTGAATTTTTTTTCCTTCATTTGCTTTAATTTGAATGAATCTTCAACCATCTAATATTTTCTCCAATTTTCAATCTTGAACCTTTCTTTCATATTGTTGTATTTTATTCGGATTCTTCAATATTTCTTGGATTAGTTTTGTGATACTTGTATCTTGGAGATGAAATATGACTTGAATCTTTCTTTCTCTCCAAAAGCTTCTTTTATCTTTTCAAATTTTGCTTCAAATTGCATCTGTTAATATAACACGTCATGAGATCAGATACTCTCAGTCAATCAAAGGAACTCAAGTAAGATATTGTCAAAATCTTGGATGCAACTATGACCCAATACATCACGTTCACCTCAAAGCCTTGTGTAGGAACCAAAGAGATAACTTGCATGGCCTAAGCGATGTAACATCTTGATCCTCAAGCATCACAGCTAAATGAAAGAATTTATTTGAATCAATGATAAACAAAGATCAAACGGTAAAATGGGCACCAGTATATCCAGATTTGTCTTCTGTATGAAGTTTCCGATCACATAGCTTGTGACTTAAGTAATAAATTTCCCCTATTGACTTACAAAGAAAGGTCAAAAGAAAACCCTAACTAGTCATTGACGAAGAACCTCTGACTATTAGTCCTGCCAAATTCATCTAACAATCCCAAGCGTAGGGAAATAAACTCTAATCAAAGGAGGATATTGAGCACAAGGGGATAATGAATTACTGATTTAGTAGCTCTTAGATGATCTCGTAGAACAACTTGGAAGTGAACACGGGGATACCAAAAGAAATATGACCAAGATGGCCATGACTTAGAAAACCTAATGAACCTCCGTCGATGAAATGCTGACAAGTACAAACTTGGTGAAAAAATGCTGACAAGCACAACCTTGGTGGAGAAATACTTTGATTCTTGTCTTGAATGTATCTGAATGAGTAATGACCCCCTTAACTTGAAGAAGACGGAACCCTCAATAAGCATAGTTGGAACCCTAGTTCCATATTTCACTGATTAAAAGATAATCAGAAGAATCATGCCTTATTGGATACGAACACCTTATCCGTTGCGAAACCCTAATATCGCACAGCCACCGAACTTCAAACCTCAAGCGCTTTATTGAATGCAAATGTATGTTAATGACCTAATGGAATATATACAGATGAATGCAAGAGTCTAAGCCAGATAAAATAAATTAGGAGGGCAAATTTTGGGGTGCAACAGCTGCCCCTATTTAATCGCCTTAGACCTAAAGGTGAGATTGACGCCATCCTTTCGAACCTTCAAGGTAAAAGAAGATTAAATACTAAAAGAACCCGAAAATTTGCGCTCCGAAGCCTGTCAGGTATACACTATATTTTTGGTTTTCTGGGTTATATTATATATATTTTTTGCTTTCTAGGTTAAAGGGGTTATCAGGGTTAGATGTATGTTTAACTGGGGTTTGACACACAGCAGAATAACTTGGTTATCAAGGAATATCTGTTGGGATCTAGTAAAAAACACCTGTAAGAAAGATATCAAAATATATATGCCTGAAGTCTGTAGCAGACATGAAAAAAAGTATCAGAGACACATATCCGGGGTTAGTAACGGATACACAAAAAAAAGACATCAAAAATACATATCCGTGGTCGGTATCGGATACACGCAAAAGAGATAGAAAAGATACATATCCGTGGTCGATATCGGATACGCAAGAAAAAAATACATATCCGTGGTCGGTATCGGATACGCGCAAAAGAGATAGAAAAGATACATATTTGTGATTGGTATCGGATACGTACAAAAGATATAGACCGAAGAAAGCTCTTGCAAAGAAACACCAATCGAAGGCGGACTTACTGAGGAAGGAGACCAAACGAATGAGACTCCTGATAAATGATACCAATCGATGATGGATTTTAACAAATGATACCAGCCGAAGCGGGGTTTTAAAAGATACCTGCCGAAGCGGGATTTTGAAAGATACCAGCCGAAGCGGGATTTTAACAAATGATACCAGCCGAAGCGGGATTTTGAAAGATACCAGCCAAAGTGGGATTTTGAAAGATACCAGCCAAAGTGGGATTTTAACAAATGATACCTGCCGAAGCGGGATTTTGAAAGATACCAGCCGAAGCGGGATTTTGACAAATGATACCAGCCGAAGCGGGATTTTGAAAGATACCAGCCGAAGCGGGATTTCGACAAATGATACCAGCCGAAGCGGGATTTTGAAAGATACCATCCGAAGTGTGATTTTGAAAGATACCAGCCGAAGCGGGATTTTAACAAATGATACCAGCCGAAGCGGGATTTTGAAAGATACCAGCCGAAGCGGGATTTTGAAAGATACCAGCCGAAGCGGGATTTTGAAAGATGATACCCAGCCGAAGCGGGATTTTGAAAGATACCAGCCGAAGCGGGATTTTGAAAGATACCAGCCGAAGCGGGACTTTGAAAGATACCAGCCGAAGCGGGATTTTAAAGGATGCCAGCCGAAGGTGGACTTCAGGATAAAGAGACCAGCCGAAGGGGAATCTTCATCCAGGAATACTATGCCGAAGGTAGATTTTAAAGGGTGCCAGCCGAAGGTGGACTTTAGGATAAAGAAACCAGCCGAAGAGGAATCTTCATCCAGGAATACTATGTCGAAGGTAGATTCCTAATAAAAGGACGTCGGTCAAAGGCAAACTTACAACTGCAAAGAGACCAGCCGAAGGGGACTCTCAACAAATGATACCAGCCGAAGGTGGATTTTAGGATAAAGAAACCAGCCGAATGGGAATCTTCATCGAGGAATACTATGCCAAAGGTAGATTCCTAAGAAAAGAACGTCGGTCGAAGGCGAACTTACAAATGCAAAGAGACCAGCCAAAGGGGACTCTCAACAAATGATAAAGGTATGCATATCTGGTCAGAGTTAGATACACAAGAGCGAAGTTGATCATCAAGAAACAAATGTTTAGAATTGCTAGCGAACACAGGAACAAGACTAACCGAAGAAAGCCCCAATAAAAAAGGACGCATTCCCCTAAACAAGGGAGCCAGACAACTGGACTTTGAAGAGACATTGAAAGACTCTTAACATAAAAGATTAGCTAGGCTAACGAAAGGAGGACCCGAGTAACATGGGTAAACCAAAACAGGGAACCGACTAAGCATGACCTTTAAAGAGCACTGATCGAAGGTGAACTCTGCAAGAGAAAGGGACTGGTCAAAGCAGACTTTAACAAAGAAAAACATGTTAGGCTTTCGATAGGTTGCAAATACACAAGAACTAAAAATCCCTCAGGCCAGAGGTGGGGTGTTAATTCTTCAAGAGTGGAAATTGTCTGAATTACCACACACCAAGTATGGATACTCAAACACTTGAGAAGCAAGAAAGGTTATAAGCCAACTCTTACTCATACTCTAATGACAAAGCAAACACGAGTAAAATAACCAAAGGCTTGCAAAGGCGAGCGCAAACCACAAACTTATTGGGGAAATGGAGAAATACCAAAGACCTGACTGGTGGTGAATTAAAACAAACTATGATGGGGAAACATCATAGAATTACCATAGGCTTATTTATAGAGATAAATCAAATCTGAGCACATAACAATCTGGTTACCACAGGTGGACACAATTGGCTTATACTCATGCATGTTTGAATTTTTTTTTATAGCGTAATGCTCCATACAATGGAAATGCTACGCGTTTTAGTATATGCAATGTAATGATGCAACATAATGATGCATGTTTAGTAATGCACTGGAAAACACATCAATAATCGGCTGTTGAGAAGACAATGAACTTCCGAATGATTATTCTGGCATATCGGATCTTCTGTAGAGAAAAGGCAATTTGTACTTCAATGGGGAACTGAGATTTGGAACCGTCAACCCCTAAATATCGATATCATTGGGGAAATAACTTCCTGGGAAGAATACTGCAAATATAAATTGTGGTTCAGAGGAAATCTTGAATTCTGATCAAACTCCCAACTTCACGGGGATCAAGGTCCTTATCCTCTATTGGAAAGAGGAAAAATTTTGCTGGGAATGGAAACTTCTGCCATAGGAATTCTTTAACAAAGATGACTTCTGTTGGGGGAGTATAGAAATTATTAAATAAAAAGAATTCTACTCAGACCATGCTGGGGATAACATTGCTGGGAGGTAAAAGATCCTCACTTGGGGAAGAAACAACATCCCAGGACAAAAACTCCATCGGGGACATCGCAACAGAAACTTCTACCACTGGTAACGACAGAGTTATGACTGGAATTCTCCTGTACATCTCACTTGAGAGATAGGACACTTGCTCCATTAGGGAAAGAAGAATAATTCCACTGGGGAAATTGGGTCTCATTATACAAACATCCTCATGTTAGTCGCATACAGACCCTTCTTGATTCATTTGTTGGTATGCTTCTTGTCATAAAAGACCAACAGTACTTGTAAAATAGAAATTAGGGCGACATGCCCTTGTTTGGGGATGTAAAACCTTATTGAAGAATAGAAAATTTGAACTATCAATCACCGGGTAAAAACTGTGATGCACGATTGCAACTTCAACATGTTGTCTCTGAGGAAAAATGCCTCTAAAAAGTGGACTTTAGAGAAGATGCTGCAAAAATAAATTGCAGTCCAAAGAAAAAGGAATCAATCTAGACTTAAAACAACTTCTACATTTCCAGGGAGAAAGAACATTCTCATCCTGCAGAGGAGTGAGGATGCTTCACTTGGGAGAAACTATCTCAGAAGAGAAACCCCTGGGTAGAC